GGGGGGCCCGGAGAGGCGGGGAACCACACTCGCTTCCTACGCCTATAAAAGTGGAGTGGCCGGGGAGGGCCGGCGCGGCCCTGGCGGCGGCCGCCTCTCTTCGCCCAAGAAGTTGACATTTTGCAGGACTCGCGCGACGTCCCGTCGCCTGCGCTCCCCGGGACCCCGCCGCCGGGAGGAGGGGGCGGAGGAGGGTGGAGACTGCGGGGCTTGGCCAAGGAAGGCGCACATCCTCGGGCGGGCGGCCGTGACGCGGCGGGGATTAACTTTGCATGAATAATGTGAGTGCGCTTGGAAAGGAGACCTTCGGTTCCCCGGGCTCGGGGCAAGCGCCCGCAGGCTACCTTCCCCGGGCAGGGGTGCTCAACCCAACCGTCTCGAGGGCACTGGTAATTTGGCGAGAGGACTGCGTGGAAGCGGGGGCGTGTGGGGGAGGGGGGGAAGGAGGATGGGGCGGCAGCTCCAACTGTCCAGAAGGGTGGGCAGGCTGGCGGCGGGGGTGTCGCGGGAACCTGAGAGGTGCGGGCGGCGAAGCTGGGCGCGCAGGCGGGCGGGCAGGCGGGTGTGGGTGGGTGGGGGGGGGGTGTCAGCCGCCGCGTTACCTGCCTCCGCCGGGTTTCTGCACCCCGGGTCCGGGAGGAGGTGCCCCTCGTGCTCCGGCACCGCGCGGCCGCAGTCCGGGAGCCCCAGCGTGGGCAGTGGTGGAGCCGGGTGGCTGGGGGCCCCCTCCAATCGCAGCGGCTCTGTTCCTCAAACCCCCAAGCCCAGCTGTTGACAAGCTCCTTGTGAAATGGAGTTTGGCATCCTCAGCGCCGAACCGAGTGGAAGTTTCCATGATGAGGAAGTTCTGTGACACGGGGGTTCGGAAAAGGTTGGCAGACACCGGGGGGCGGGGAGCGGGGAGGCGGTTTAAAGGGACTGTGGGTCCCCCATCCCCCTTTTTCCTCCTGCTCCGGAACTCCGGGGTTTGGAAAGGAGAATAATCCTGAATGTTGGCGTGCGCGGCTGCGGGTGCCTGGCGACTTGGCTTCTCCCCGCCTTCTCAGGGACTCGGTGGCGATTTCGCTCGCCACCTGGGTCGCGCTTCTTTGCCTTGCTCTTCTTTTGACGCAGCATCTTCCTCTGGGTCGACTCGAGTTGGTTCTGGCAACCAGGAGTTGAGCCAGCTGTGCTCTCCCCCGCCCCGGCCTCCCGGCCCCCCGACCTCCTACGGAGGAGGACTAAATTGGGGGAGGTTTTTTTTTTTTTTCCTTCCCTTAATAGATGCGTCCTTCCTAGCTGCGGTTGTCATTTTGGAGGAGGATTTCCCAATGACCACTGTTGGATTAATATTAGCGCTAATTCTTAAGCCTTCCGATTTGTTGGGGAGGGGGGGAGCATGGGGTGTTTTTTCATTTATTAAAGGTTAAATGTATAATTTTCCCCAAATAGGAAATTTTACAGAGAGGGTCTAGAAGCTTAACAGTTCATAAAGTGAGTCAAAGAAAAAGGAAAGAGTTTACCTGAACAAACAAGTTCATACTCTCCACCCTCCCCTCTCCACACACATTTAGAATTTGTGAAGATTCAAACATTGTGCCTAATCGTCAGTAAATAAATTTGAAACAGTCTTCCTCTTAGCCTGTTACTGGTCTTGGGTGCTAGTGAGATGCAGTTTTAAAGACCAGTTTTGAAGTTCAAAAAATTAAGCATTCCTTGGACAGTGTCTTAATCTCAGAGCACAGCAGTCTTTATAATGGTAAATATTTTGGATCATGTAGATCTGTTGAGCAATATCTTTACATTATTTGGCTTTATTTTAATTTAGTATGCTTATTGACATTTTAATAATATGTAGCACGCACTAGATTACAAAGTAATAAAAATTGCATTTTAGTCAAAATATTCCATGATTCATTCTGAAAATTCACAGTGACTGATCTGCTCCCTAATTCACTTCTGCTTACCTTTCTTATTCCGAAACAAGTCAGGAACTAAGAAACATTAAATAGAAAGGTATTTTGATGAAAAGTATTTTGAGCAGTGGAGGTTTTCATGCCAGTTGGCTAAGGGTTTTAATCGAGTCTAACAGAAATTCAATAGTAAGTGATTTGTTTTGGGTATTATATGGGAAGGCATTGATGAACAACCATTTATTATTTGTACATGTTAAACTGATACTATCAGAATCTTATTTTTAATGAATTTCAAAGTTTTATATATATTGGAAGTTGGACCATCTGGTAGTAGATATGATTTGCTTTTCTTTTTTAGTGAGTGAGAGTAAGTGCTACTAAATATAGCCATAGAACTATTTTTTTTAATGAAGCAATTCCTGTTGGCATTATAATGCAAAGGCATAGTTTTATTGACATTGGAATATTGTTTTATGGAGTGACTGAACTTACAAGAGGAATAAACATTCCATTTCTCCCCTTTTAGATTCTTTATTCTGGCATCATAATGAATTAAGACAACTTCTTTTTAATCTAGCATTTTGGGGAAAAGGTGATTTCTTAAAATTTCCTTAAGAGAAGTGAAAGTTGTGGATTCCTTTTCTTTCCTGAGATTTTTGCAGTTGTTTGAAGGAGGGCGTGTGTGGAGCCACAAATGGGATTGAAAGTTTGTTTTTTGTTTTTTGGAGTTTTTTAGTAAGCTTATCTTTTTGATGGAAATCCGAGTAAAGGTGATTGGTTTCTTTAGCTCCTTTTTGTCATTCCAGTGTAAGATTATGTGTCACCTTCTTAAAAAGCCCTTCCATGACCACATGAGCCAAGGCAGTCCCTCATTCCTTCTTAGCACCTTCATACTGTTTTTAGTTTCTTTTTTTTTTTTCTCTCTCTCTGTCCTTGGTCTTATTTGCAATCTGAATTGTCATTTCAGTTGGCACTTGAATACCTGTCTCCCCTGTCTACAATATAGAGTCCATGAGAAAAAAACGCTTGACCACCTCTTTAACTCTTGATTCTCCAGCATCTTACACAGTGCTTGGCACACAGTTAGAACTGGAGAAATCTTTGTTAAATAAATGAATTGTTGTGCCCAAACATTGTGTTCCTAAAAATACCTGACTAAGCATCCTAAGTGGGTACCAACTGGGTATGTCAAGACCTGTGTCTGTGTATGTCTATGTGCCATGTATATATGGTTCAGTCTTTATCTCTGTCTCCCCCCACCTTTTTTTTTTTCTGAGAAGAAAGCTAGTCCCATTCTATATAATGACAATGCTGAGAGTTATTTCTGCAAGTTCTTCCTAGGAGCATTTGCCTGGAGTACACAGAAATCCTCAGCAGCAGTTTGTCTTAGACCTTACCTTGATTCCCTGAAGACATTGGCCTTCAACTCCCTGGGTATCAGCAGAATCTTTATGAGTTCCAGAGGCATTGTCAGTGCTAAAAGCAAAATTCCAGGGAACAGCCATCACTGGATGATAGCAGTGCCTTCTCACTCGGCAGGTTCTGGGGCAGTGCCTCTGGTCTTGACAGTCCTAAGGGGACCAAGGGCCTGTGGTGCTATAGCTGGTCTACAAAAGTAGCAGTTGGGGAAGGGGCAAAATGGGACTGTCAGAATATAATACAAGATTGAAAGGGCCCTTGGGGGTAGATTTGAAAATACCCTGCTGGTCACCCTGTGTTGGAAATTAAGTCATTCAACCTTTCCCCTTTGCGTCTTTTCACATTTCGATAAACAGATTCTAAACCAGATGATTGTGGGAAATACTGCATTATCTGAGTTTTCAAGTGACCAAGGTGTGATACCCAAAGGGTCATCTCCAAATTAGCTATTCATGGAAACTCTTTTGACAATTGAGACAAAAAGGAAATCACAGTGGGTGATTATAGTGATTTGTTTTTGTTTACAGAGTATGGACTTTCAGAAATGTGTCTGCAAAAATGCATAGTAAAAATCCCACAAAATGGGGGCGCCTGGGTGGCTCAGTTGGTTAAGCGACTGCCTTCGGCTCAGGTCATGATCCTGGAGTCCAGGGATCGAGTTCCGCATCGGGCTCCCTGCTCAGCAGGGAGTCTGCTTCTCCCTCTGACCCTCCCCCCTCTCATGTGCTCTCTCTCTCTCTCATTCTCGCTCTCTCAAATGATGAATAAATAAAAAAATAAAATCTTTAAAAAAAAAAAAGTCCCACAAAATGATGACATTGGTAAAAATGGTAGGGGAAGGAAGGTCAAAATTGTATACAGGGGTAAAGATAGTTAAACTGAAATCCTAAGTGTTTATTGCTTTGGACTATTTAATTTAGCTCTGAGCTTCTCAGTGGCCAAGTTAACAGAAAAAAAAAACAGGGTCTGGAGATGGCAGGTATGCATTAAAGTTGTAAGGATACATCACATAACGTTTGTAGAGGGCTTACCATGGTGTCTGGCAACTAGTATATAATTCTATGAAATATCAAGTCATGTAATGGCCAGTACTTGAACTTCAGTTCTACAGAAAATGAAGTAAAGTTCTTTATTTGGTCATCTTTTATGAGAATAAAAAATGCAGAAGGGATAATGATGAAAAGAAACTCAGTGGGAGTTTGTCTTTAGGAGCCTGAGCTACTGTGGTGCAGCAGTGGAAATTCTGGAATTGTCCCCAGTGCAAAAACAGAGCTCAGAAAACCTAGAGGAATGAATGGTTAACATGTTCTTCAGGCCGACTTTCTCAAATATCCAGCGTCTCAGCCAGGCTTTTGACTAGAGCAATCTGAGAGGACAGGACAGCCAGGTACTTGAAAATGACCCTATGGCCATAAACCCTCTGAACAAGTGATCTTGACACTTTGCTTTAGTCTATATAGCTCTTATCACCCTGCAGGGCAGTTTGGGTTTTGTTTCCATTTGTCTGCCCCTCTAAACTGGGATGAAGGACTATGGGTTTATTCATCCTTGACTCCCCAGCACCTAGCAAAGACTTGGACACATGGGCACAGGGAAACACTTGTTGGAAGATGGAATGGGAGAGGGAAAGGGGGTGGTGCTTCTCTTGCTCTTCTGATATTGATACTAAGTGTCATCTTTGGACTTCGTTTTGCCCAAAGTGAATGTTTGCTGCCTGGATTGAATTATATGTCTATATCACAGCTAGAAGGGCTTGTTCTAGTGTCTGAACTGGTTGAGCAATGGATGGCAAATTAACTTCTTGCTTTATTTACAGTAATTTTGATTATTTGACTTGATTTCTCATTTAGTCTACAAAAATTTGTGTACCTACTATGTGCCTCATTCTGGTAGTCATTTTGCAGCTCAGTGTGCAGCCTAGTGACCTGTAAGACAATGTACATATATTAACACAAAGGGATCATGAAATGGTTTCCACTGTGATGGAACAGATATGCCTATTGGGCTCCTTCATATGGCCCCATAGAGGAAATAAAGTTATTTTCATCTGAGGAGGTGATTGTTTTGTGGTTTCTATAGCCTGTGTGTATTCGTGTAAATTGCAGTAGGATTCTCTTGGTATCCAAATGGTGTGGGATTGAATATATTTAGGCCAGTGAGTCTCTGATTAAGGATGTTCACTCTTCACCTGAAGTTCCTAAATTTGTGAGTCAATTATGATGTTTAAGTAAGTTGGGGGGGGGTATCCAAATCACTGAGTCACAAATAATGTATTTCCATATTCTTCTCTTATCAATCTGGTCGACTGACAGCTAGACTAATGCTCATGTTGTTTGGTCCATACTGTCCTAATTTCAAGGGACTTTGGAGACTTTATGTGCTGGCGTTGTTCCTGGGCAGTACTATTTTTATTGAGTGAGAACCTGAGCTCTGCTGTGAACTTAGGTATCTTTTCCAAATGGCAAGTTAGGAGAGCCTGGAATTAGGACCCAGGAACCTTAACTCTGTGTCCCCAGGAGCTTATTGTAGCCTTTCCATTATGATGGTCAGATACTCT